AAATGATGAGTAAATTGAAGAGAAGAAAATAATTGGAGTATTAAGTTAAGGGTCTTGTCGCCCCCCCCCCCCCCCCCCCCATTTATGCCATTAGGAGATGGCCATTATAAATGTGTCTTGTGTTTGACCAATCAGCATGCATTATTATCAGTTGTATAATGCCTCCATGTACCAGAGAGGCCTTTTTATTACTTTGCTGAGATAAAGTGTGCAGGCAGTGCTGGGGAAGCTACTTTGAAAACATATCTTTGGAAGGTACCAATTACTGCACACTGGAACAAATTGAACTACGTGAAGCTACCATAAGAGAAATCTGGTTTAGTTAACTAAAGCTAATTAGAAAAAAATAGTTCAAAGAACTTTGTAAAAAAAAAAAAATCAAATTGACAATCTACAAAATTAAAATATAATTCTAAAACTCAACTGAATTTATTACCTGAGACCTCAAATTGTCCTAAATAAAACAATTCCATCTGGGCTTTTCACAATTACAGAATTGTAAGGAATGTTATACAGTAATTTTGTATTATCTGACTACAGCTAAAACAATAAAAAAAAATATATTTAACTTGCACTAAACTGGTCTTCAACATGCACCTTTCGGAGAGTTTGAACAGCTTGAATGCTGGTTTAATTAAAAAAGCCTATTTTTTTACTTGTCAGAGCAGAACGTCTTGTTTGTACACATGAGCCATCTCTCAACATTCTTCTGAAAAAGGTGGCTCCATTTGGCACTGAAAATGCCCTTGCCAACACTGAAAAGCCATTCATATGCAGCATGGGGCATAAAAAGTCAGGCTACAGGGGAGAGTTCACTGTCTCGGGGGCAGGTCTCCATCTTTCCACCCACCCCTGACCCTTCTGGTCCCCTCTATTCTTCCACTTTGGTGTTGAATGAGCACATAGGTTTGGAGGAGGCTGATGTGGAAACTGTGCTCCTTTAAAGAGAGAGAGCTACCTTGTGAGCAGCACATGAAAACCAATATTTGCCGTGACTTGAGTTTTCTTCACATGTGAGAAAGCAGCAGAAATATGTGTAATTTTTTATGTGAAATAGTATTGTGTAATAAACAAGTTAGATGTCTTTAAGGTAGTTCACAACTGATACAGTTCTTTACAAAAAGTGTATATAAAATTCAGGTTTCACCTATAAAATGTTCAAAATCTATGGTAACATAAGAATTCTGTTTCACAAGAAAAAACACAAATGCCTACAGTATATGTACATGTATCACTTATGAAAAGATTTCATCTATGATATCAAATATGAAATGGATCTTTTTACATGTGATGTCTGATGTTTCTCATGTGAAATATCTGAAATCCCATGTGCTACGTCTATACACATAGTATAGCACATAGTATTTGTAATGTGTTTCACATATGGTAAATTTATGGTAAATTCATTTCTGCTTTATGAAAGAACATGAAGCACATAAAATATTTTTGACTTGAGAGTAAAAAAAATCTAATCAAATCACATGAGCTGAAAGGATGGGTGTGTTAATGAAATGTTAAATATCCAGAAACCATGTGTATATGTGACTATGTGACTTCATGACATTTCAAATGGTTTTTCATGTGATATACCTAAAGTGTGTCTATGTACCAAAAAGTGAACAGATTTTTTTTTCACCTACAGTTTCTTACATAGGGTGAATTCACCAAAATTGTGCTTTGTTAGTGCTGGAACAGCCACATGTAATTGTTTTATTGTAGACATTGGACACAAAAAATGTCTCTGCAAAATGACTTTATTCATTTTTTTTTTTTTTTGCTTCAGTTAAAATCACACTCATTATCCAAGCAGTTAGACTGGACTGAAGCTATATTCCAGAATCATAAAGAAACATTTACTCAATAAATACAGTTTTTGCCCATGTGCTTAAATGTGGTGAGCTTTCCTTTTCTGAGCATATTTACAATACACCATAAATAACTTCAAGAGATGGAGCACATTTCAGGCTTTGACAAAACAGAAAAAAAAATCAATCTTGTATAAATATAGGTTCATCTAAGGACTGAAGAGGACATAAAGAAGAAAATCCAAGAGAAAACTTGAATCCTGTTGTACAAACATACCCTCATAACAATAATTAACAGCTGTTTCAAGGATCTGTCAGAATGAATGCAATTAAGCTGCCTTACCTAACATTCCAACAGGTCAAATTGCATATGGCACTCAGAAATGATTACCGCAGACATCGAGATGGAAAACATGTTTTCCATATCTTCTATCAATTCCTCAAATGATAATTCAGGTTCTGGTACACAGAATGATGCAGAAAATGTATCAGGTTATTTTATTGTTTTGTCAACCAGATATTTTCCTTTCACCATGAACAGTCAACATGTTCTGAAGCAGCAGACATCACTCGATAAAATATGTCCAAAAATCCATTCAGTATCCATTGTTCTCACTGTACAATTATATTTAAGATGCACCTGTGAGTCATGAATGTCTGCCCTTATCTTTCTTGTATTTACTCTCATGGGATACATCAAAACTGAGAGAAAAGAAACATCTAGACAAAGGCTTTGCATATTGGCCTGTGAAGTTTAAAACAACACACTCTTTGCTTCAGGGCCAACCTGTGCTCTACAATTTTTGCATTACTGCACTACAGAACACCCAACCCTGTCATTTCTCCTCATCCAAATGCATTGAAAAACAAGGAGACCTCGTCACAAAAACTTCACCTCTTATAGTGCAATAGGTTACACGGCTCAGTAAAACTAAAACTAATGCAACACACGAGTATACTCCTGGAAGAGAGGCAGAAACTGGAATGGGTGTTGACACATAACTCCAACCATTTTATACCCAGTCCTGTTTTCCTTTCAATTTCCATCATGCTGATCAATTTTGATCAAAATATTTTTCACTCAGGTCTGACATATTCTGTCTTACTTTCCCTATTTTAAAAAGACAACCTATTAACACTCAATCTGTAGTGAGACTGAAGAAGGTATACTACTATCCTGTAGCTTTGCTCTACCTTATATTTTCTTAGTAACCGACAGTTGTGCCAGTAATCATGAATGTGTGTTGGTCAAATGAACAGCTGTCTCATTACAGATATCACATCAATATGCTTCCATAAACATTTTGTAAACGACATCATCTGTCATTTCAGCAAATCCCAAAACACCACGTTCAACAAAAAGGATTACAGTGGGAGCAAAGGAGGAAGTCAGGTGATGTTACGGAAGTTTGTGTACGGAGCAGGTCAGGGAGGATTGGATGGGTCAATAAAACATTGCTTGTGCATGTTGGTGCCAACCACCCTGACATACCATAGTTTTGCTTCATCAGAAAGAACAAAACATAATCAATTATAATAGCAGTCATAAGGCCACACAGTAAAGGTCCTCATGGCTTCTCTCAGTTACTAATAACTGAGAGTAAATTGGGTTGGAATCTAGATTATATATAATCTAATCAGGTAGGGTGGTGTACTGTAATACTACAGTGGATATTAGGTTTGTGTATAAATATGCCTCAATACCTCCACCTACAATAACCCTAATCCTGTTCTTTAACTGGTAGGGCATGATGCTGCTGCTGCTGCCAACACTGCTTTTCTCTTTGTTTGGGTCAATCACACTTGGGAATGAATTTAATTTTCTTTGGGTCACTTTAGATCAGGTCCAACTTTCTTAGGTCCTTTTGCGATTGGAGCTCACTTTTTTGCAAATGATTCTATGACTGTGTCTATTTCAGATGGATTCCAAAATTTTGTTGCAAAGTAACAGAAGGGAATATTTACTAAGGCATGTGGCTTACTTCCTGGTGCTAAACTGTGTGTTCATATTTACTAAGGAGCAGCAGTGGAGTTTTGGGGGGGAGAAACGAAAGAAAGGGAGCACTGCAGGAAGTTGTGCATTTGGTCTCATGCAATATGAATTTTAAGTTGTTCCCATTCAGGGGGGGAAAAAAAAAGGGGGGAGGAAAAGAAAAATTATAAAAAAAAAAAAAAAAAAGGTTTGTAAATTGTATCACTCACCAGAGGAGAATGTGATGGATTTTTACAGGCTTTCAGACCAAACCATGCTTCAGTTACTGAATGAATAATAGACAATTTGACTGGCAGGAGAACACATGACTGCTGCTCCAAAATGTGTTTGTTGATTTCTTCAACAATATTAAAGTTCAGTCACTGTAAATGTAGACTTTTTTCTGCACTTCCTCTCAGTCCGCACACAACGACAACAGCCTTCAGACAGCAGATCCGAAGCGGAGGTGTATTCAAATTAACACAACTGTAGCTGTTCTCATTTACATTATCAGTGGTGGTAAATATGCTGCTAAATATCCACTAGGTAGGGATAGGGATAGGGATAGAGAAAGGGATAGGGTCAGTCTTGCTATATATTGACATCAGAGGTGACTCTAGTCACATGACTTGACTCGAGTCACACTTTAAGTTGCAAATTTGAGGATTTGAGACTTGCTTGACTAACACTGGTAAAAAAAAAAAAATTTGACTTGACTTTGGCTTGGAATTCCTGACTTATAACTTGACTTACACTTGAGATAGATGCCTGGAAAATAACTTGCATTTTTCTGGATATTGAGAAGTTACAGTTTGGTTTTGATACACAATTGGGTGATTTATAGTGCAAACCTGGCAACCTACCAGAGTGTGGCAGATTAGCAGAAGGCAACACAGGTCACAGGATGCAGATATCATGGAGGAGCATAGCCCAAAAATAATAAACTTTGTATTTCAAGGATTATATCATTGATGACAGTAGTAAGAAGAGAACAGCTGTAGCGCAAACATCAGTAACATGAGCACCACAACATCCAACTTCATCTGTCACTACAAAACTCACAAAGAAAGGTGAATGAGTCTGTCTTTTCAGCAAACATTAGCTACCCTATTGATTCATCAAATGTTAGCTAGAAGCAAAGATTATATTTAAGCTGTTAGACTTGTCTTTGAATCAATTATATGTTTTATTGAGAAGAGTTTCTGATAGCCATGAAAGATATTCCTTTTTTATTTAATGGCTAAGGGTTAGTTTAAAATCTATGAATCCACAATTAATAATCAGAGGATGTTTGCTTCACTTAAATACTTGATATTCCCATTGCATTATCAGATCATCAGAATTTTGTATGACTTGAATTCTGATTTGCTTGACTTGTAGTAGGGGCTTGACTTGACTTGCTTGATTTTCAACACAGTAATATGGAACTTACTTGTGACTTGCTTGTGACTTCACATGTGACTTACCCCCACCTCTGACTAGCACACCTAGCACCCATTCAGAAAAACACACACTGATTAACGTGCTCTTTTGCAGACTTGGAAAAAGTAAAAATTGAAGTTTGAGCAACATTTAGGAATTTCTATCCATAATTAAGCAACAAATAAGATTAGCATCAGAATCGAATTGGTATGATGGAAAAACAAGCTAACAGATCCCAAAATGAAAAAGCTTAATGCTGTAATGCAGCTAACCAGTTCAGGCTGTGTGACTACAGTCCCACTCTGTGTGGTAGATGAGTGTTAGCTGCCGTTGGTGATAATGACAGAAGTGCCTTTGTGTCCAGGGGTCTGCTCTGCCTGTATGCGGAGGTGTGGGGTCATCTCATAGTGGGTGTGGCCAGTGCTGGTGGAGGGGCAATAGCCCCGGATGCTTTCTGGGTCATAGAGATGCTCCAGAGCATAGCCTCTCAAAGAGTAAGCTGTATGCTTGTCCAAGTAAGACCGTGGGTGGTTGTGGGAGGGGTAGAGAGCTGGCACCGGAGTAGGGGAAGCCAAACACTGGCCTGGTCGAGCAAGAGAGTGGTGTAATGGCAAAGAAATGGGGGACAGGTCTGTTGGAAGGTAGTCTTTGGGCTTCTGGAGGCGCTCAGACCCTGGACTGCTAAGCCTGGATAGAGGGGCGGGGCTATTTGCGGGGCTGATCACCTGACTCAAACCTCGACACATCACAGTCTGCAGTGGCAGGGGCCCTTGAGTATACTCAGAAGTAAAGCATGGACCAGGGCCCTTGGGTAGTCCATTTACTGGTCCTAGTGGAGCATCTGGAGGGCCTTTGCGCAGCTGAAGTCGACTTTCTTCTTCCTTGATCATCTGCTGTGTAGCTCGGATCAGTGTCTTGATCTTGCTGGGTTCCTGTGGGCTGCAGCTGTAGTGGTCAGCCTGGTACCGATCCCCTGAGTCACTGGCTGAGCCTCCATCTGGTGAGCTGGCCATGCTGTCCTCATCACAGTGGCCCAGGCCTGCAAGACACAAAGATAGCAATCGGTGCAGTGGAAACATGAACAAGAATTACTATCATTCTCAGCAGCCATGGTCACTCTTGGCTTCCATAGGCTATTCTTAACCCTACAGGGTTTTGTGGTATCAGCAAATGAAAGCAAACTTGATGCTCCTAGATATATCTGACTTTAGATTTGTCTGCAATTACCCATAGGCATTGAAGCATTGGAGACAAATAACAAGAGACTCGACGACATGACCAGAGAAATACAGGACATAAAAACGAGTTTGCAGTTTACCCAGCGAGATGTGGATGTGATTAAAGCAGCCATGAGTGAACAGAAAATACAAACCAAGAAAACGAGGGATGATGTCTACAAAACGTGTGAGAGTTTAATAACTATAACAGACAAAATGGGGCATCTGGAAGCACAGTCCAAGCGAAAAAACTTGATCTTTGAGGGAATCAAGGAGACA